GTGTCTTATCATGGTTGAATCTAGCTAATTAGCTACATATCACTTGCATACCTTTGTGAATTTCTGGAATGTCAATGGTATTTTGATTGGGTTGGAATAAGATTTTATCAAATTCTCAGCATATGCAATTTAAATCTAGCTTGAACTGTTTACTTTTGGGGTATTAAATTCATTTGGACAAGGATAATTTTTCAAGCTTGTTAAAGGTAACCTCGTCATTTGGATGAGGATAACTTATTGCCTATTTCAAGCTGAAAGTGTTTGGTCTGTTGTTCAGGAATACCAATTTTCAGTCAAAAATTTGACATTTTATAGGAAGATGGTTATCCTTTGGCAAATCCCTCACCTTGTTTAGTTCCATTATCAAATATCTTGTTCATTCCTTTCATTCATTTATTGGAATGTTTATGTGATTATAAAAGTTGATCTCAGAGTTTCCTTCTAAGTCTATATCATATGTTGTAATAAGCTTCCAGTTGTCGTACTCTTTGTTTAACATTTTTTAATTTTATTCTGTCTCATGAATGTGACTTAACATCAACTTACTCCTCTAGAGGAACTATAACATGTTTTTCTTGCTATTGGAATGAAGATTAATTTTATTTATACCCTTGTAGCTATTTACCAGAGGAGATGAGGAATCCTACCACTTTCAAATGTAAGTCCATCTTTCAGTAACACAGCTTTTCCTTAAGATCCTGGGTTATCAGTTATAGCCTTGATATGGCTTATAACCATAAATAATGTTTTCAATTTGATAGTTATTTGTTCACACCTGATAAGGCTAATTGCGGTCATCCGCCTGTTTGAAGCAATGTCTATGTTGCCCCTTGTCATAGCTGATCTTACTGCATAATATCTGGTCTTTTTTTCATATTACGTAGAACCTTTTCCTTATTTTTATTTTTTAATACTCTTTTTTGTTGTGACCATGTGTTCTTTCATGGTGGAGGGTTGTTTTCTCCATTCCATTTCTTTTTTGTTGGTCCAGAGTTCATTTTGTGTCTCTTAATCTGTAGCTTTTGATCATTAGTCTTATTATGATGGTCATCATTTGATAGGGATGCTACAAAATCCAGAGTATCGCCAACAGCTAGAGGACATGCTGTAAGTTCTTTTTCTTGGCTCTATCTACATTTGATATTGCTGGTAGCTTTTTATTCTTGTGTTTGTACTTAGATTCTGAGCAATTTTGCTTCATAAATTGATGTGGCAAAACAATATTTTTGGTCTCTGAAGTTTGACCCAAATTTTGATTTTCTTCTCATTTTCTCAATCCCGGCATTTTGTTAAAAAGGTGGATTAATGTTTTCTCTAATAGAATACAAAATTTATGGAACAAAATCGTTCTCCCATCTGCTACAGCTGTACTAACTTGCCTGAAATAAAGTCATAAGTCATCTAATTAAAGCCATAGGTTGCATGTGCATTGCCTGTTCTGACATCCTGTAATACTTTTAGTTCTCATGAAGCAGAAACTGAATCAAGTCGGCATTCCTGTAACAAACTTTGACCATAGTTGACATACCATTGCTTCAATATAAAAGAAACCTGATTTAGTCAGTGATCTCAATTGCATGTATATCTGAACGACCATGCTTGTTAGTCGGTCATGTTAAAGGATGTATTGTTCGTCAGAATTTTGAACCCTTGTGTCTGGAATAATACTTGAGAAATAGTGTCCACTAAACTTTATGACAAACATTTTGTTACCAGAGAAGGCTGGAGCAGTGTGATGCTTATGCTAAACAAGATATTCTAATCTTTATCCAATTTAATTTCTCTTATCTTTTTTATGCTTGATGTTTGTTTCAGAAATAATATGGGCGGAAGCAGTGAATGGGACAATCGTATGATGGATTCATTGAAAAATTTTGATCTTAGCAGTCCTGAGGTTAAGCAGCAGTTTGGTAAGTGTGAAGTACCAGGTCTTGTTGGATTTCAGTCTTTTTCTGATTAAATTCCAATTGCTCTAGCGAATGGCATTCATTTACAATTTTTATCTTCTGGCTACTTCATTTTCCTGATTAAATTTGATAATTCCATAAATCTGGAAGTTAGATCAGTTCCATCATGGCAGAATGATGTGCTAGTGACTAGGTTGATTGGATAATTTTAGTATAGACCAAGTTTAAGATTGAGTAATTTACATTATTCTTGATCTTTTATTGTTTGTTCCATTATTATTATTTTATTTTTCCTTTTTGAAACGTTCTCAGTTGTCAATTGTGTATGCTTTATTTGGCTTTCGATTGTTGTAAAACTTATTTGTTCGTTTTTCAAGCTGTTCTTCACTTTCAACACTATTCTTTCCTTGATAAGTTGATATTTATGAAATTCAAAACAATTTCCTTGTCATTTAACAAGAAAGTATCTGGCTAAAAAAAACATGAAGGTAGACTTATTTTTCTCCCATGGTGTGGGAGACTAGGTATAAAAGCTCAAGGAGAATAGATAAATTCATGCAGCATGTATTTTCTTTAATTCTTCTTTGTTTATATTTTGCAGACCAAATTGGGCTTTCACCTGAGGAAGTAATTTCAAAAATAATGGCCAATCCTGAAGTTGCTATGGCATTTCAAAACCCAAGAGTTCAAGCAGCAATCATGGATGTATGTATTTCCAATGTACTTGGATTTGATTTAGAATGTCTCTTCTCACCCCACTGTTTCTGTTTACCCACGTACTTTGTTCTCTTGTAAAACTATGTTCAAGAACGATGTTTAACGACAATACTGTTTTTTGCAAAATATGAAGATAAAAGATAATAGAATTATAGTGTTACTGGCCGCTGGTAGCCTCACTCTGAGGAAGGTCAGTCCGACTGGCCTCCCACTATGGGGAGGAGTCCTAACCGGTATCATGGTCAAAGTTAAGAAATAGACATTATGGGAATGATAAGGGTGGGAAGAGTAAATTAATACTTTTAAAGTTGGTAGAGGCGGAGAAACCTGGTGGGTGGGCAACTGGGAATGATGGGAGGTCATAGCATCACTCTTATATGGCACATACCGATTCTCTTAAATTTTATGTTCCTTTTGCAGTGTTCACAGAACCCACTGAGCATTGCAAAATATCAAAACGATAAGGAGGTACGTTAGAACTTTTTTACTTTCAATAATGATTTCTGATTTGCCTACTTATGTGGTTTCTAGTTGTGTTTATTTATTACCTTTTTAACATATAATTTATCCTATCGGTAACTCACTATATGATTATTATTGAGTTTTTCCTTCTCTTCTTCAAAATGATTGTTTTAACACTCTAGTTCATCTGTTTCTTATTTAGCTAGCATGAGAGTAACAATAAATTACTTTATTGTATTGGAGATGATGGCTACTGCTTGTAAAGTTCTGATTTGTATTCTTGCTTCCTTCTCATAACTTTAACTGGATAATATCTATCTAATGGAATGTAATTAAGAGCTTTTGGATAACTCGTAGAAGTACTTTATTAAGACCTTTATTTAGATGAATAAATTCCTTCCAAGAGACATCAACGAGCACATACTGTTGGTTAATTTGTGAGATCCAAATTCAATAGGCAATATTTCAGTAACTCATATAAAACATTAGCAAAACCCGCCAAAGTATGTATATAGTGATCTAACAGTTGACGCGGAACAGTACAATTACTTAATATTACAATGGGATATTTTGACTTGGATCAAGCGATATTATTGGTTTGTATCTGTTTTTGTTGAGGATCGTTGGAAATGGTTTTCTCCCAGCATGCCTCAAGTTTAATTAAGTTTGATTGATCTTGTTTTGGGATACACAATGTACTTTAAGGGGCATTATGTGGCTTTACCAGGTTGGGATGTGGCATTGATTGCTGTTATAAGTATATTACGTATTTAATATAATATGACAGTATGCTGTGTTCTGTTGTCTCAGGTTATGGATGTTTTCAATAAGATATCAGAACTCTTCCCTGGGGTGTCTGGTTCGCCTTAATTTCTGTTCATGGATGCTAGTTTCTCGAGTTAAACATGCTCAGTAAGTAAGGGAATTAGAGCTTTACCAGTCCTGCGAAACTGAACATGCTTGTCGTTCTCATGCCCATGCATAGCGCGATAGGCTCATTTTGCTGCCCTGTTTGGAGATGAGTTGACACCCTTGTAGCGTAGTTGGACAAACTAAAAGCTTCATGTCCCATAATGTGAAAACGAAATGTATATTGGTGTCCGAGACCATCTGTCTAGCAGACTTTTTGTAATGTTGGTATTGGTAGCTTTGTTCAGAACTTTATGTAGGGAACTGTGACCAGTTCGGAATAGAAATGGTAGGTTTTACAAGGTTTATGACTGTACACCATGTGATGTTATGTTTAAGGATAATATTCCAATGGATTCTATTGGCTGTACATAGGAAAATTTGAATAAAATATGCGTTCGTCTTATGCAAGTGATATCGAGGTAGAGAGAATCCAACGCATGTCCTCGGTTGCTAAAATGAAAAGTCTCCTTGCATGAAAGGGCTTTTGGCAAGGTTGATCTTTCGAGGTTGGCACGGAGAATAGACAGTTTCGATTATCAAGCAACGTTGTAATTTAGATCAGAAAAAAAAAAAAAAAAATGAAAGGTAGAAGAAGAAGATTCGAATGAGAAGGTTGCTAGCATTCTTATATTGTATTTGGTTTGATTTCCAATGTAGTTCTGCCGAGTTGCTGGAACTCTGGAAATAACAGAATTCACCACGGTAAAATCTTAGCCATCCAAGTATCATAAACATACATCAACCCTGAACAAAGCTTCATGAATAAAAAAAATGTAGTCCATTCATAAATTCCAACAAGCTTTCATCAACACAACTCAACCCAAGTCAACAATACAACTCCAACTCAACCGATATTATCTAGACTAATAGAGAGATGATATGCTTAGTCTCACAATAAATTCACAATAATTTAGTTTAAATTTACTGTTAGACGAGAATCAATCATAAGTTTATAAGAAATGGAAAAATACATCTACCCTGTGTCGGTTTAAGTAAAAACCCCTCTGCACTCTCCATCTGTCAACCTCTCTGTCTGGAATTCTCTCCCGCCTCTCTCTCTCTCAACGTCGTAACCACCGGAATCCGCCATTCACAGCCACCAGAATCCTCCCATTCTTCTCAACCTCTCATCTGAACTCATCCTCTTCTTCTTCCACTGAAGGTTTCTATCGAAGCTCGAACTCAAACCCATCGCTCGCTGCTCTCACTTCCTGTCGCCGCTGTTGGACTTGGTCCGTCCGATCACCGAGGCAATCTTCAGACTTCATGGTTATTTTTCTTCTACTTTCCGTGATTCTTAAAATTTTAGGAACAAGATTTTGCCGGAATATCTTGCAACTGACTATGTGCCATTACTGTAAATTTTGCTGAAATATCTTAAAATTTTAGGAACAAGCATGGAAATTTTGATTAAATAATTGTACCCTTAGCCTTTTGTTAATCTGGATTATCATTTTTGTTGAATTAATCATCTGTTCAAATTCTTTCTGCCCATATTCGGAGATTCTCGTTGCAATCCAATGTCTGTTGGATTGTTTTCTATTACATTTGGATTATGCAATTTCGATATTCTAATAACTGCTATTCTCATTTTTCCTTTGTTATTTCACAAATAAGTATTTTCATTCTCTAGTTTTGTTTCGATATTGATGACTGCTTTTTTCTTTTTTCAGGATCAACCTGCCAGAAATGAGAATATAATTCAATGAGACCAGACCATACTTAAAGTTTCGGTATACGGTCAGTCTATTTAAGGTCCAAGTTTACAGTTTTCAGTTTCCGGTTCATCTTTATGGCCTACAAACTGTTTGGTACTGGTTCTTGGTTTGGGACCTAACCCAGTCAAACTGGAATGAACTTTTAATCGGTAGACAGGCCCTTTTAACCCCCAAGCATCCCTCATCCTTTTGAATTCTAAGTTCATTCTTCAATGGCTATAACTATAGTTTCAAATATGCAAACCCAACGGCTAATTTTAAGAAATGTAGCTCCCAGAACCCTCACAACCTTCACAAAACCAACTAAGTACTCACTCTTTAACTCTCATAGACCTCATTCTTTTGCTTATTGTCCACCAAATGACCTGGAACTTGGTCTTAAAAGTATGCAATCCCAAGAACTTTGTAGTAGTACAAGCCAAGAACCGTTTTCGTCAGCGTCTCTATCAGATTCTCTTTTGGTGGAAAAGATTTTATTAGGTTTGAAGCAAGGCACCCTCACTTCCTTGCGCGGTTTTCAGTTAAACCCATTTCTTATTGCTGAAGTTCTTTCTCGCTGCCGTGAAAATTTGCAACTGGGTCTGAATTTTGTTGATTTGATTCTGTTAAATAGCCCTAATTTTAAACATTCGTCAGAGTCTTTGAGTGCAATGATTCACATGTTGGTGCGTGGTCGAAGGGTGTCAGATGCACAACCTCTGATTCTTAGAATGGTTAGAAAGAGTGGCATTTCGCGTGTTGGAGTGGCAGACTCTTTGGTTTCAACTTATAGCAGTTGCGGCTCAAGTTCTTTGGTCTTTGATCTGTTTGTTAGAACGTATGTGCAGGCTAAGAAGTTGAGAGAAGGATTTGAGGCGTTTCAGGTGTTTAGAAGAAAGGGATTTTGTGTTTCGATAAATGCTTGCAATAGTCTTCTTGGTGGGCTTGTGAAAGTCGGGTGGATTGATTTGGCATGGGTGGTATATGGGGAAGTTGTTAGCAGTGGGATTCAGTTAAACGTTTATACACTAAATATAATGGTTAATGCCTTATGCAAAGCTCGCAAAATTGAGAGCGTTAAATTCTTCTTATCAGATATGGAAGAGAAGGGGGTGTTTTCAGATATTGTGACGTATAATACACTAATCAATGCCTATTGTCGCGAAGGGCTTCTAGAAGAAGCTTTTCAGTTAAAAAACTCTATGTCTTCTAAGGGGTTGAAACCTGAGCTTTTCACGTACAATGCTATCATGAATGGTTTGTGTAAAGTAGGAAATTATGCAAGAGCAAAGGAAATGTTGTATGAAATGTTGCAAGGTGGATTGAATCCTGATACTACTACTTATAATACAATGCTTTTTGAGAGCTGTAGAAAAGGTGATTTTTTAGAGGCTGAAGAAATTTTCCATGAAATGTCACAGAGAGGTGTTGTTCCTGATATAGTTAGTTTCAGTTCCCTTATTGGGGTTTTTTCGAGGAACAAAAATATTGATCGTGCGTTGCTATATTTTAGAGATATGAAAAGGGCAGGCTTGGTTCCAGATAATGTGATCTACACTATTCTTATAGATGGATATTGTAGAAAGGGAATGATGTTAGAGGCTTTGAAGCTGCGTGATGAAATGCTTGAGCAAGGTTGCACTATTGATGTGGTAACATTCAATACAATTTTAAACGGACTGTGTCGAGAGAAAATGCTTTCTGATGCAGATGAGCTTTTCAATGAAATGTTGGAAAGGGGTGTCATTCCTGATTTTTATACTTTCACAACGCTCATTCATGGCTATTGCAAGCACGGGAATATGACTAAATCTCTCAATCTGTTTGATGCAATGACTAGTGGAAATATTAAGCCTGATATTGTCACATACAACACATTGTTTGATGGCTTCTGCAAACTAGGTGAAATGGATAAAGCTAAGGAGTTATGGTGTGACATGGTTTCAAGAAGGATATTACCCAATCACATTTCATATGGCATCCTAATCAATGGATTTTGTAGCGTGGGGAACGTGCATGAGGCGTTTAGGTTGTGGGACCAGATGATTGAAGAAGGCATCAAACCCACTCTCGTTACTTGTAACACTGTCATTAAAGGTTATTGCCGCTCTGGTGACACAACAAAGGCGGATGAGTTCTTAGGCAAAATGATTTCAAAAGGAGTTGTTCCTGACAGTATTACTTACAACACTTTGATTAACGGATATGTAAAAGAAGAGAATCTGAACAAAGCATTTTCCTCAGTTCAGGAGATGGAAAAGCAAGGGATACTGTCGGATCAGTTTACATACAATATAATTCTAAATGGGTTCTGTAGGCAAGGTAGAATGCACGAAGCCGAGCTAGTATTGCGGAAGATGATTGAGAGAGGTGTAAAACCTGATAGATCCACTTATACGTCATTGATAAATGGACATGTGACCCAGGACAATTTGAAGGAGGCATTTCGGTTCCATGATGAGATGCTTCAAAGGGGATTTGTGCCGGATGATGAATTCTAGTTTGCTCTTGCAGCTGAAGGTTGGATATTCTCTTAAATCTCATTGCGCTCTTCATTTTAATTAGCTACCTCTAAAATGTTGTGACCTAATGATCTTATGTTTATATTTTACATACAGGGACTTGAATTCATTACTTTACATACCTTGTCTTGTATTTTGTTATCATAATGTGAGATTACAATTTCTTAAATAATGCATATACAGGTCTATTCTGTCATACACCATATTGAATGTAGTGAGATGATGCTTACTCATCTTATATTTGTTTTCATCATCTTTTAAATAGCCATTATAGGATTTTTATGCTTTTCTACGTTTAGTACTTCGGCTGCAGTCACATGAGGGAATTTATTTATGAGAGGATTTCACTTTTGGATGGGATTTATAGTGAATATATCCTGTGAGTCATCATCATATATTACTCTGTCGTGAATCAATAGGAAATAATCAAAATTGAAATACCAAGCAATTCTAGTCACTATGATTTGAAGTTCATATCGATTAATTATGTACCCTACTCTCCTGCTTTAACCTCATTGAGTATAGCTATGAATCTATGACTGATTCATAACTATATTTTGTTGTTTTTTTTTTTTACTTCTCAATTTTGCATTTTTGGAGTTTGTTCAGACAGTTTTTAATGTTTTTATTAATTAATTAATGAACAGGAAAAGAAAATTACTTTGTATCAGTGGCATATTTGGATAATTAATATCAACATACTTCTTTCGAAGAACTTAATCACATGTTTTTCATGCTATTATAGAGAAGAATTAATTCTATTCCTTGTAGATATTTACTTGAGGAGATGAAGAAACCTTCTTCCTTCAATGTAAGTCCATCTTTCAGTAGTACGTACAGTGATCACTAGAAGACATATTGTAAGTTCCTTTTCTTCTTCTGCTGTATTTACATTAGCTGTTGTTGGAGCTTTCTGTTCTCACTTATTTAGTTAAAAATTGTGAGCATTTTGTGCTTTTTACTTTGCAAAGCATAAATATCGTTGGTCTCTGAAGTTCGAAAATTTGATTTGTTGTCATCAATTAGGCTTGGTCCAGTCGTCTTTCACTTACCCCTTGGTGAAAAGTTCGAAGTGGAGGGAAAATTTCCCATCACCATAAAAGAAAGAAAAAGTAGAGCAAAAGTGTCCCCTTATCTGCTACAGCGGCAATTGCTTTATAAAGATTTTGTGATGAAGAAACAAGTAACTAAATGTTTAATTCTGTTGTCTTTAAAATTTCTTCAATTGCACTAGAAGCTTTCTTGGAATTCTTTGCCTCCTTGTAATACTTGTCAATCATTACAGCTATTCTAAGGCATTAAATGCTTTCTTCACGGTGGACATTTGTACCTCCACTACTCATCTCAAAATACTTGCAGTACATTTCTTCTAAATCCAGTAAAGAGTCCTTCAATCCACCATTCTCTATATGTGCTTCTGAAAGAAACTTTTTCAAGGGTTTGACGAGCCCATTGCTCTCCAGGAATGGAGGCACAAAGTGGAGGGTTTGATTATTGGATGTGGTTATAGATAAATATGGTTTTAGTTTTAATAAAATCCTGTCTCTAACGGTAATTGTACAATAGGACAGAAAAGACGATTCACATATATGGTTTAAGTTGGGTGTAGACTGTACAGTGAGATGACATGGGTTCAAATAAAATTGGTTGCAGGGTTTACATGATTTTCCTAGAACAATATTCGCTTTCTGCAATTTCAGTTTCTTTTTTATGCTCTCCTTTTGTGTCATAAACAGTATGAATGGCTTTCCCACAGATTCCAGGAATGGAGCCAGATTCAGTCCGGTGAGATCAGAGAGTTGAAGCAGGTTGGATGACCACTCTAGCATATTCGAGAACCTCTGTTGCAGGGAAGACTGGAGAGGCTGGACTCACTGCCCAGTGCTGTAAGGTTATAATTCGTGAACTCCAACCTTATCTCGCTCTTTTGGATGACTAACGAGCCATCTCAAAAAAACAGAGACTAATTACACTGAGTGATGATTTTTGAGGAATACCAAAAGCAAAAGAAAAATTGCACATCTGAAAAATAAGGTGTGACTGGCCAGATGAAGCCAGTACGAATGTGTGCCCTCATCAGTCATCAGTCATCACAGTGTGCTGCAAAAATGGCACCCTGCAATAATTTGGGAGGAAAGGCCGGGGGTGCCATCTACAGGCTTTTGTAATGTTGGTATCGGCAGCTGTTTTCGGAATTTGATGTGACGGGTTGTGAAAAATTCCAAGTAATATCGATCGGTTTTACAAATCCATTGAGAACAAAAATTGTGAATCTTCAAGTTTTCTACTATTTATTTTCATCAAATCCCTTGTAAATTAGAACAATGCTCAAAAAATTCCATTATATATGATCACTCTTATTATTATTATTCTTTGGCATCAGGTACCATGGCAAATAAATATGGAAAACAAAATCCATGGCAATTCTTTACCCAGTACCGCAATCGGTTGCCTTGAAGGATAATGTCCTTTCTTGCAGGTCAAATCCTACCAAGAAGTTCATTTGTGCCACATTCCCATAGGTCCCCACATCGTTGGTCGGGGAAAATGCAAGACACACAACATCTTGCCTAACCCTAACGAAAGTGTTGACGGATTTTAACTTCACGTCTGCACCACGGAAATGGACTGTAACAATGGGAGCGTCGATTTCCGGTTTAGTCTTGTAACAGAGCAGTAGAATGCCGGTTGGATCTTTCGTCACCTCCAGATGAATTGCCTTTCTAATTGCCGATTCGAAACTTTCATAAAGCTGTGTAGGCAAAGCTGTTATAGTAGTCCCGGAGTCTATGATCATGTTGCCCTTAAAACTTTGAGGACTGGAAACTTCAAGCTTAATATAGTCGTCTCCGACGCTGATGCCTTGAAGCTCAAGGTAGTAATAGGTTTGCGAACCGTTCGACAGGACAGGAGTTGAGACCACATCACGGCCTGAAACTTTACCACCAAAGTACATCTTGCTTGGGATTTCACTTTGACTACTTTGCTTAGAGTGCAAGTTTGAACGAAATTGTAGTTCGTAACTCGGCACCAAGCAGTAGGAGAAAGATTTCCTACCAACCACTTTTCCGATTTGGGATATAAGCGACACAGCTCCGCTTCCAAGTCCGACTATGCCTGTCTCAGTCCCGCTGAAGATTCCTCCGTTGTGGTGTCCACATCCAAATATAGTGTTGGGGATTGATACGGCGGCCTTGCCTGCAGTTCTGGAAGCCAATGTAACAGTGTCCACGGACAGATTTCCAGAGGTGTAGGAATTGTCCCCATACGTATAATTGTAATAGCAAAACTTATCGTTTGAGCAAGTGCCTTCACCTAGCAAATGGCATTGTTTGGACAAACAAGAAAGGGGCTCATATGTTGAAGAAGAATTGGGATCAAAGATGGGGATTTTTTGCTTGAAACAATCCTTACACGGCTTGCATTGCGTCCATGTAAGATCGCTGCCGGTGTCCACAATGCCAATCAAAGTTTTGGGCGGTGTCCCAATCGATATGTTCACCAAATACTCTCCTGCAACATAGATTAAATGGGCTTTCGCTGTAGGACTCGTAGCGCGTAGTCCTGAACCTTTTCTGCCGAAATGGTTGGTCACACGGTAATGCGAGCGTTGCAAGGCATTGCTTAAGCGTTGCCAATGAGACTCCGCCGGATTGTACAACGGAGATGATGGCGAATCGCGGTGGATCAGTTCGAGGCTGAAGCCGATTCCGTGGTGATGGTCATCATCTTCTGTGAGCGAGAGAAATGGGAGGAAAATAATGGCAAATGCAATGGTGAAAAGTGAGTGAATAGCTTCCATGAGAAAGATGAAGACAACACTTTGAACATATAACAAAAGAGTCTCTGCAATGGTATTTTATATAATTGGTGGCGGAACCAGAATGATTCTTTTCCAAATGAGAGTCTCAAAAGACTAAAAATATCAGAGCACATCTGGTTGGATTTGGTTATTCATTAAATCATGGTTGGACCTGAGAGAGTCAAAAACTGTTTCTAGAAAGTGGAATGGTTTGACTATATTTTCTTATGAGTAAGTTTGACATAGCATCAAATTTAATGCTTTGTGGGAATTATGATTTGAATTTATAGTTTGTTTCCTCTTTTGTCTAATTCCTCGGTTTGAGTTGTTTCTACCAGAAATTAGAGGGTGGTATTTCATTGAATTTCACAAATAATTAGAGGTTGTTAATTAGGTAAATAAGTTTTAGTGATCAAGAAATTTATCTAGAGTAAATTTGCATCATGAAACAAACTATAGTAAACCCTTATACGGCTACCAGAAACATTGTCATGTCCCTACAAAACGTCATCAATACAAATCTAGTACAAAAACAAGATAAACACAACAAACTTAAAACGCGATAAACACATCACGTTTGAGTTTTAAACGTACGTGCAAATGACGTACGTGCTGGTGTCCCTTTCTATTTGTTGGCACAAAATTCCAACAAACCTTCTTTCTTTGCACAAAAGATAAGATCCAGCAAACCTTCTAGTTTCTTGGTTGGTCTGTCTCAAGGACAGCTCAATTGACATATATATATATATATATATATATATATATATATAGATGTTCTAAATTAATTGCGCTTTGGAAAAGGTTTTTCTTTGTCGAAATGTTTTAAGTAAAACGATAGCAGTGTTAGAAAAATATAAACTTAATAAAGGACATTATGTATTAAATTTTATTGGATTCTCGTGCTAAAACAAGGTCAACTTAGCTAATCTAATATAGCCATCATATTGATGGATCTGTGGCATGACAAGCACGAGAAGCAGCTAAGAAATACAACCAAAGGAACTACAGAGAGTACTTGTGGCTGTCGGGTCGAAACGTTTGGTTCAAACCAATGAAAGGAACTACGAAGAGCATTGGTCAACCGCTGTGATTGAGTTAGAGATCAAGGTTGTAGAAGGGAGATTTTGGTGATTGAGTTCAATACTAAGACCAAATATAAAAAATATAATAAATAAAAAATAATAATAAAAACAAAAACAAAACAAAACAAGACAAAAAACAAGAGATACGCAAAACAAATCATGAATTTTATTAGGCTTTAGGGTTTGGGGTTTAGTGATAGCCATTTTTACTGAAATCCTCAGCTGATGAATTGAACCAAAAAACGAATGATCGGATTAATGAGTAATGGTAAAAGTCAATGCTTTCGTAAAAAGTGCAACTGTGTAAGTTTCTTGTAGGCAAGATTTTTAAATTTTAATACTATTTGCAAATGATGAAGATTTAATTAGTTGATTAGAAACCCTAAAAACGTCTCTAATCAAATAAATCCTTATCATTAACTGGAAAATAAAATAGTTCTAGTGAAACTGCAGTTAGCTAATCTTCAACTTTTGAATTCAAATGAAAATGGTGAGCTAGCAAAGAGAATTAAAAATGGAAAGTAGAATATAAAAAAACAAATTATTATTCGATTAATTATTTATCACAAAGCAACAACAATGAGAAGCCTAAAGTACATTAAATAGAAAATCACCAAATATAAAACACAGATTACAAGCAATAGGGACTTTTACTGCTGCTTGGTGCAGTCAGTTGGCTTGAAGGAAACAGTCCCCTCCTTAGTATCATATCCGACCAAGAAGTTCATCTGTGACAGGTTCCCAAAGATTAAAACACTTGGAGAAGAACCGAAAGCAAAGCACACAGCCTCCTCACTGACCCTAATAAAGGTGTTAGTCGGAGGCAACTTCAAATCGCCACCGCTGAAATGCACAGTGATGGTTGGTGGCTTGAAATCATCAGAACTGGATTCACTAATCTTGTAGCAAAGATTCAAAGGAACGCCGGGGAGTCGCACATGTTCCAAACTACCAACGGCTTTATCAACTTCTGCTTCCAAATCCGAGTACACCGATGGTGGAAGTATGGTCAATGTGGTGCCAGAATCGATAATAATGTTGCCTTCACCTGAGGAGACAGCTGATGACGAAGAAGGAATTCTTGTGTTACCAACACTTATACCTTCCAAGGTCAAGAAGTAGAAGGTTTTAGGATCTTGGCCCTGGACTATAGGAGTGGACACAACTCCAGCGCCTGTAACGACAGCGTTACTACCAAAATTCAACTTGCTTGTGGTTTCGGAACCCAATGGGACCAAGCAATGGGAGAATTTTCCACCAATAGAAGAACCCAATTGGGTAATTAGGGACTCTGAGCCACCTCCAAGGCCTACTATGCCGGACGCGCTACCTCTACCAGCGGTAAATTTATTGTCAAACCCACATCCAATTAGGGTTTCTGGGAATGCTATATTTCTGCCAGTGGTGGATTCTAGGGTTAGGGTTTCTCTGGCAAAATCTCCATAGCTGTATGATTGGTCTCCATAGGTGACTTCGTATTGGCAGTTACTAGAACTCTCACTAGAGCAAGTACCATTTAGAGAGTTACATTGGCTTGAAGAGCAAGAAAGGGCTTTGTAGGTTGAGGATTTTTTGGGTTCAAAAACAGGATCTTTTTGTTTGTAACAACTTACGCAAGGGTTGCATTGGGTCCAAATTAGATCACTACCTGTGTCAGCAATTCCTTTGATTGGAAAGGGCGGTGTTCCGATTGATAACTCCAAGAGGTACTCGCCATTATCGCTGGTGATAGTGGCCTCAGCTTGGTTAAGACCAGCCTGCTGAGAGAAGTGAAGAAGCTGTTGGGTTGAAGTGATTGATTCGGTTAATGGAACGCTGAAAGGCGTTGCGCAGGCGCTCAGCTGGGGTTAGTGAATGGTTGTAGAAAGGAGATTTTGGTGAGTCACGGTGAATGAGGTCCACACTGAAGCCACCATTGAGAGCTGAGACGAAAGAGAAACTAGAGGCGCAAAGAATAAAAAGCAATGTTGTTGTTGACAATGAAACGAAGGCGAGAGAATGATAAGCTGCCATGGCTAGAAAAGATTAGTATGTGAGGAAGACATTGGGATTATGGTGTGTATTTATAGGTAGAGAGGAGCCTAAACTATGTGATTCAAAGAGGGAATCCGGGATTTGCTCTTACGACAACCGTGAATTCGATATCCAATTGTACGATAATTTGTTGCCTAGATTGACGTTTGTTTCCTTTTTCTTGGATTCTCAGTGATTCTTCCATCAACATATGAATATAGCAAGATTCTCTCTCCTTCAAATATCCTTATGCTCTGGTCCCTTATTTGAAGGTGTTGACTTCTTTGTGGAAAGAAAGAAAAAAGGGGAAAGTGAAAGAGTAGGAGAATCAAGACGTGGAGATATAGAGGGAATGGAATTCTAATCCTATATAAATATTCAAGTTGACTTATCAAATGATTAATTAACGAGTAGGGGATTTTGCATGGATTTGTCCCAAGATTACTGCTTGCTTCGTGATGAGTCAATGCATGTGTAAGTTTCTCTTTATTATATTAATGGTAATTAGTCTGATTTTGAAGATTAGGAGAAATGATTAGATACCTTTATTTTATTTCTTTACCTTTATATAGGAAAAGAAAATTTTGAGTGGATTTGTCATATAAATTGTGAAGGGATCAATCGATCGGCCCAATGCAATAGTCAACGCGTATGGGATTCTGCATGAATAATTATATGAAATTGTTATTAGCAATTCAAAAATCTCATTCTACATTCTAAACTTTTTACATTAGGAAAGAAAAATACAGGAGTGTAGAATGATATTTTTGGAGTGCTAATAACACTTCCCTAATTATATTTCTGATCAGTGGTTTCCTTATAATTAAAAAAAAAAGAAATAAAAACCGCTTTACTAAATTTATGGAGTAGGATTTTCTCCCCTTTAAGATCTCGTTTGATATTGTTTTTTTCACTCAAAATTGCTTCACTTTAAGAAGTAAAACAGTGTTTGATAGAAGTAAAATATCCTACTTATTTTAAAACAATGACCTCCATACAACAACTTTTAAAAGCAGCATGTATGTTGCTTTTAAAAGCTTCTTTGATAAAAAACAAAATTGAGCCTTTAATTAATATTTTTAATTTTGTAATACCTCATTAATTTTTTTAAAATGACATAATTTGCCTTCCACATACATTTTATCCTTAGAAAATAAAGTGACCGCTACGATCGACCACTATAAATACTAACCTTATACCACCTATGCCATTACCACCACCATTGTTGCCACCACCGCAACTGCCATCAGTGACTGCCACTACCACCATTGTTGCCATCACCGCCACCATCACCACCATAACTGCAATCACCACCATTGCCACCACTGCGACCACTAGCATTACCACCGCCCCTACCACCATTGTTACTTCTACACCCCAACAACCATATGCCCACTATTAGCACCACCACCATACCTCCACCATAATCACAATCGCCACCATTGCCACCACAACCACAACTACCACTATTGACGCTACCACCACCCCTAGCACCATTGTTACCTCTACACCCATAACCACCACATCCCACTATTAACACCGACCACCATACCTCCACATTGCTACTACCATCACCACCACCGCAACCAACACCACCATTACCACCATTTTTCCCACAACTGTTATGGTCTCCTCTCTCCTACTACTATTGTCATTGTATACAATTATATTACTTTTATGTATTAAAATTTACCAAATGCTTTTACATTGTTTTTCTTATTCACAACACTTTTAAAATACAGTTAACCAAACACTCAACTGCTTTATTTTATAGTTGATTATTCTTAAAGTACAGCAAAAGCAATTTTTTTGAAAAAACACAGCAATGCCAAACTAGCCCTAATAAATCCTTTATTCTTTGCTCCCTTCCATTCTCACTTTCCATTTTGTCTTTCTCTCTCTATAAAGAACTCAACATAAGATGTTGACGTGGCTTAATTGTGACTGATTAAATAAGAAGGGATAGGAAGGGAGAGAATCTTACTCCCAAGTTTCCAAGGGTGGAGTAAGGCAAATCAAAATATGCGTCCGTCAGAAATCCAACCATGAACTCAATAGCTCCGATCAAATTAAGCTGCTTAAACAAACCAGTGCTACCACATCCTGCTGTACCCAGTAAGGTAGGCAAAGTCTACAAACTTCGCTGAGATCGACCATACCATAAGTAATCACCCTTCCAAGAGGAAACAATATCTAATCCTATATATTCACTTAAATTCTCCCAATTTGATACAAATTTCATATTCTGAAGGGTCTCTCACTCGACTAGTATACTCACCCTCATCTAGGGCATAACTTTAGTAACACATATAGCACAATCTACACATACTCTTTGCTTATTATCTTGCCCACTGCTTAAGTCTTAATATTGCTTACTAACTTAACCTTTGGAGGCCATTTGGCCAGTATCACATCGATGCCCAAGGTCCGATTATGGTTGTTTGGTTTCTTCTAGGTGGTCAGACGTGCGTAGTTCCTCCGTCAATGGTGATGTGAGAATTTGATTCCAACAGTCTTTAAATTAAATTCAATAGACCTAACATTAGCAGCCTGCCCTAACCCTGGCGATGATAACCCTTCCCCTCTTCTATATCTCCACCTCCCTTTATCTTCCTCATCCAAGTAGATTAAATCACATTTTTGGGGCTATATTCATTTGATGTATCAATTTTGTTAAGGTTTTTGTTAATAAATAAAAAAAAATATTATGAAGCATCAACCTGCAGCCGCACTAGCCTACTCGTACCATCGAATCATCCACACTACACCAACATTGTTCTTCCACTGCACCTCTGCACATCTGCACCCCTGCACCACTCGCAAGACCCACGAGATCCCAACCCACAATCTGCTTGACTGAAACCCACTTGCTTATTCCCCACCACCACCGCGATTTGACCCACCACCAATCACTAGACTATCACCATCTGTCACCCGCTTGAAAGTCACGGAAGTCGCCGCTGCACCCCCGGACCAAGATCCTATCTTCATGAAATAACAGCAGCACAACCTGATGCCAAACTCGGTTTACCGCCACGAGTTCCATACCATTTTCGTCATTTCGTAGAATTTTTTGGTTGTTTGTACACGTGGCACAAATTTGACATCATATAAGTAAATATGGGGACCTATAGGCTATAGGGGACAACCCATCATTTAATGGTCAAATTAACAGATTAACTAATGAAGCTATGACATTGTAACAAGTTCGTAAGTTTACGTAGAGAAAATTGTAGCACCTCAACTTTAACCCAATTGGAGCAAATGTCCATTAACCCATCAAAACATACAGCTATGGTTCATTTTGTCAACTTCTTCAGAATTCCTTCCAACAAAACTCGTTTTGATGGATATGATGAAGTTGACAAAAGAAACCATAGAAGTACGTTTTAATGAGTTATGTGACCATTACTCTAATTGGATTAAAGTTGAGGGATAATTACTCCAATTGGATTACACTTAAGGGTCATTGCTCCAATTCAATTAAAATTAAGGGTCCATTGCTACAATTCTTCTCATTTGGTTTTCCATATCTGTCCCTTGATTGAGCCTCACGTGTGTGACACGTAACTCATTTTAACTGAAGTTCTAACGGAGTTGACAAAAAAGACCATAATTGCACATGTTAATGAGTTAAAGGGATCAATGATCGCAAATTTTTAGTTGAGGACCATTAATACAGTTGGGTTAAAGTTGAAAGACCATTACTATAATTTCCTCGTTTATGTATGACATCATAATGTTCAAAATATGAGGTATGAATTTGTTATGTGGGCTAAAGTTAATTTGATAAAATATAATTTAATTACAAAGTTGATTATTATTTAGTCAGACTGACCAGATTATTAGTTTATGATCGGTTTGGTAAGGTTGTCATAATCTGGAGTCTCGACCAAATGCTACCTGGGAAAAGTTGTTTATGAAGGAAAATTAGCTTTGCCAACAGGTATCATAACTTTCACAATTACTAGTAGGAAGTATTTTTGCTCACCATACACTTAATCATCTGCCACGTGTCATTTACCTAATTCTAATTAACTTTCACATTAAATGTTACTTTTTCAATTTTGTAAAAAATTAACCAAAGTTAAGTGAAATGACACACGTCAGATAATTAGGTGTATTGTGAGCATACAACATAATTTATGGTGGCAAACAAAAATGCTTTCAATTACCGTATGAAGTCTTGGTCATCAAAGGGAACTTTCTCAATTAACTTCTTTTTTACCATGCCTTAGCTAATCAAGTTTAAAGTAATCGTTTTCAAAACTTGTTATTATATTTGTTTATAGGAAGCGGATTAATGAAGGTTTCTAGTACATAAGTTACTTCTGTATTAATTTTTCGGAAAATGATAGGAAGACCATATTTTGTCGTAAAATCAAGTATATAATTGAATATGTTGATGCATTTTTTTTTTTTTTTTTTTTTTGGATTGAGTAAATGTGCAGGTTGAATACACTACAAGCCCCGCCCCAGCCTTCACAGACAAGTTGGTCGTGATGTACACTAAAAGGATATAACCGCAAGAGGAAGAAGTGCAAGATGACTATTTTGAAAACTAGATCCGCGTTAGCATCAATTGATTCCATAATTTTATGTCGAACCTTCTAAAACTAAACCTAGGGTTAAATCCTAAGAACTTAAAAAGAAAGGTCTAGTCATGTAGTCAGTCTGCAAGCCAAACGAACAAGGATGGGTGATATGAACACAGAATCAATATTACATTGTACTTCGCTTTCATTCGACATGAAGAAACAACATTTTCCAAGCATACATCTGCAGTCCCGAAAGAAGGGGAAGACACTGAATTCATGGCCCTCCCCACAACAATTACAACAATTTCATCATAAACTCACCTCCTCACCTTGCTCGCGAGCAATGGAAGCTGAGAGAATCCCAAGATCGCGATTTAGGAATGTCAATGCAGATTCACACTCAGAGATTATTCTTGTGACAGATGAGGGCTCGCCAGCAACTGAGTCAGACGATCCAACAGCAAGAGCTGCGTATGAGTCTCTAAGATTCCTCAAGTTCCCCAGGAACTGCAATAAATGTAAGAATTATAAGAAGAAAACACCTTGTTACAAAATTCATGGTCATACGAATGGTCTGGTTAAAATATGGTATTATTCAGTAATTTGAGCTACACTGCTCCATGCCCAAGTAATCCCACCTGGCATATTTAACTTCTAACCCAATTAGACCTACAGCAACACGAACACACTGACATACAAAAGGCAATGGGGGAAGTAATACCATGTTTGGGAGCAAGAGAGAATGGGAGAGAATCCCACCAGACAATTTTGGTTATGGTTCTCTCCTATTGTTCAGTTGAAGAACATGGATTTTCCTCGTCTGATGAAAAGAGAAGGGAAGCAAAGAAATCCAGAAATGTTTGAACTACACTACGTCCCTTTGCATAATGTACAAACATTTCGGTACCCATTTTGTTTTTTTAAGATCACAAGGTAAAAATAAATAACCAGACATTCAGTCTTCCCATTTTTTCTCCCCATGTTGGAGGATAATGCTTGACCGAGCTTGAGAAGAATGCTTTCCTAGCTTAAGGATATACTGCCTTTCCCCTTTCTTTCCTTCACTTTTTCTCCAAAACAAAAGGTAAAAGGTGAAGTCGACCAAGTGAGCACTGAGTACGTGCTACAAGAAAATGGCTACTCTTTTACTTAATTTTCCATGCTAACTTTACGGGCCACTATGGACGTTTGAACCAGGGACGGTCCGTGTAAACAAGTGGTGGATTAGCCACCACAGCATTTCCATATGGACAGCAAACACAAGGCATAAATGTGAAGGGAGAGAAGAGAAGGGACAGCATTAAATTTAGAAGATCAAGGCTTTCAGAATAAAAAGGCCAATGAAAAATGTGGGGATATGCAAAAGAACGTTCAATTGTTCACTCGGGCCAGCTTCAACTAAGGCCCATCATGCGTGCCCCACTGTGCTACCAAGATACTTATGTGTGATACTCCAAAAGAATAACCAAAGATCAAGATTACATGTAAAACCAAATGAACAATGATAAAAGACTATCCCCATGACACCGTCTGTAGAGAAGAAGCCAAATGTGGCATGTAGCGTACTTTGAACAATTTCAATCTAGACCCCTTCCAACCAACACACACCCTAGATACCTATGTTCATCACCTTAAATAAAAGAAAACACCTGTCCTTGTGACATTCAATAGTAAACGAAATTTAGTATAGATTGAATATTGATGAACTACAGTAGAGAGATACTTCACTGGTACATAATTACGTATAACAAGAAAATATGTCACTTTCTAGACAGGTAGTAACACCTGTTGAATTAGTAGAAAATGAGTTCCCCATGAGGTCTTAGTACTATATAAAAACCATCACTACAATAGCGGTATATGAACTAGTGAATTGGCATTCAGACTAATGTGCTATAAAAAAATGTATAGATTAGCAAAAGAGGTACCTTCAAAAGCATCTTGTATGCCTCCAACAATCGATTGGCAGCCGGCCCAAATCCATGGAGCTGGGGTACCTCCATCATATGTGTCCAAGGACGTATTTCCTACAAAAGGGACGACATTTCAAGGTTGCAGATAAGCATAGATACCTCATACACATGCACACAAAGCAAAGCAAAACAAATAACAAAAAGGTATTTTGGATTCAGGCACATCAATAAATGTCAATATTCCAACTGGAGTACTAGCTAAAGGGTGAACTTTTATACAAGCAAGGAGCTGAAACGGAAGCATAAATTTCTCCCACGCCAACCAAGCCAGATATGTGAATATGGAATCCACCAAAAAGCATAAAGTTCATCATGGTGCACATGCACCACCCGCGCCTCACTTTTTTTGGCAGATATAAAATTCTAAGTAACATGCCAAAATATTAAAAAGTGGTACAACAAACAGGAAAAGAAAAGAAAAAAAGGGACATCAGATTGTCAGAAGGCAGAGTATAAAAAGACAGAGCAGCTCCAACCTTAGTGTAAATCGTATTGAATGATTTTGCAGTTTCCAGAAAAGACTCTAAATGTGCACGCAATCTTGATTCCACCTCTGCATAATCCTCATCTGGGTTGTAAGCATGCTACATGCAATAGCACATAGAGTGAGAAAAAGAAGGAATTAACTGGGACAAGGAGAACTTTACAAATACATAAGATGTAGATTGACAACCCAAATTCGAGGGAGAACTCATTGCCAGAAGAAATATAGTTGATTTATAGGCATTGGGAAACATCATAAAAAACAGAAGAAAAAAAAATCCAAAATGCATACGACAATAAAGGAATGATAAAATACCATACTAAATTATATATATATTTTAAGAAGAACCCTACGAACATATAAATGAATCTTTCAGCAATCTTTGGCACTACAGAGGGCATTACTGTGCATCTGTTCTCTGCATATCAGCATGGGATAGGTGAAGCCCAAAGAGAAATGGAAAAGTAAGGAGGTGGTGTCTTTAGGTGTCAGAGGCAATCAGAGAAACTGAGAACTTTCATAAACACAATGATAGGGGGTAATGACAGTAGAATGGCTGTAAAAGAGAATCAGTAGTATACTTTTTTAAAAAGAAGAGTTTATTTTCTGGTTTAAGTTGGACGATTTAGTTATTATGCTGAAATAAACAATTGGCACAATTATATAGCACAAAGAGAGCTAGGTGAAGCTGATCAAATAGTTGAATAGTTCCAGGATACAAATCATAAGAAAATATAAGCAACTTTTGTAAAAGGCAAGAAGGTCTAAGTAAAGGAAGAGAACCTTTGAAGCCAAATCGTCAACCTTCTGTTGAAGACTTAAGAATATCTTTGATTGTTCTGAAAGCTTTTTCTCCAATTCAGAAACATCAGGCCTGCAAATGAACTTTGATTAAACAACAGGATGTTATTGTATCTAATGGAATAAGTTGTTCAAATTTACATGATGCGATCATCTCATTTAAGCATTTTATCCTAATTAATTGGGTTGGTTTTCAAAAAGGTTTCTTCTTTTTGACAAGAAAATTTCAGGGAAGCGGTTATTCTTTTTAATTCAGGGGAGTAGAAACAAAAATGAGGGCTTTTCTTTTTTTGTTAAAAAGTACAAGGATAGATTTTCAATGAAGCAATTATCTTTCATTGTGTTACTTCATGGGCAGTGTTGAAAAATAGATAGCCTTACAATGGATATATGGACTGAATCTGAACATCTGCAGGGAACAATTTGCACTCCTCGGAGAATATTTGAGCTTGTTTTTCAGCTATGGAATCAATTAGTTGTATGTCCTTTGCTACCTGCTCATCGGTACTGCAGAAATTACAGGTCTCAGCCTAAAATGATTTTCGAAATCAGAAAACAAATCACATGCTGTAGAAGATGTAAAAGTTATTTTATCAAACAATAACACCTTGCCAAGCCATGTAATACTTAGTACCATCCTACCTCCATTCTTGATTATCAGCATAAATACTCGCCTCCACAAGATCTACAATTAGACGAAGCATTTCAGTGCGATCTTCATAGCTTCCTCGCCCCTACAACAAAATTTATTTGCATTCAACAAAAGTGGAGAAAACTCACACAGTAAAGAGTTGCTACCCAAAGCACTTCAAATAAACAGCAATGAAAAAAGATTGACATTATTTACGGAGTATCAATTAATAAATTTTACTTAATGGAAACTCAACAGAAATATGAATATATTGATTCGACTCAGGATGCAATTGTCATAAAGATTGGTTGCCTAAGAAACCAACCAAACAATGACTTTCAAATGGGATATGAAATAAAAAGACAACACAAGTAAAAGTGCACTCAATTTGTAAAGCTTGCTAAAGAAAAAAAGAAATTTCCCATATCAGCAGAAAAAATACTCCTAAATCAACACAAATCCACAACTAACTTGGATGGCTTCTGTGTCAATAGTAGTCGTAATACCCAAAAACTTTGCAATCTCTGCCAAATCTGCAAAACAAAATAATATTTGTTATGAGAAACAATAAAAGAGAATATTGCATCAATGACCGAAAACAGGGAAAAAACAATCGTATATAATATCACATACTCAGAAACTTGGAATTTGGAAAGGAAAAAACAATCAACGCCAGATGGCTTTAGAAGAAGGATTAAACAAAAAGGAAGCAGCAAGAGAAGGATGATCCCCAAAGTTATCTTAAAAAGTCCCTAATGAGAGAATTTGGGTGCATACAGTACCAAGTTGGATAATTATAAATTCCCAAGCACAAGCAATATCCTATCCGTGCTTGCATCGTTAAGGTGACACTGAGTTGAGATTGTGCAATAATAGCTGCAGCAAGCATCCATCTTTTATATAGTAGGATTGATATGTATTCTTATCTTCGTACGCTAAATAGTCTTATTCTAGATTTGAGAGATTGGCGATTTTGCCATATCAGTTTGGCATGGCCATGTCGAACATATATGTAGTGCTGATACCAAAAGGTTGTTTTCTGTTAGTGTTCGGAAACTACTGCAGAAGTTCTTTGAAGTCATAACTTTTGTCAATCTTCATTATCATCACGAAAATTTAAGAAGTCTGCAGACGAGTTAAACAAAAATCACTGCCCACATTTTCGTTTATAATTAACATTACAACACATTAATAAACTTTAGATCAACGATACGATAAAATTCAAAAACCAATATAAAGTCTACATTTTCATCAAATTCTCAACAAATTCAGCATTCTACAAAAGACGGCTTACACTGGATTCGAGCGGTCTCTTCGTTGGCGTCCCCTTGAAGATTTTGTTGAGAGAATGGCGACTTGTCCCCCAACAAGCTGAAATCACACCACACAATCAGGGCAATCAAAATTGTTACACAGTGAGAACCAGAAAAGGTAACGACATGTGTGGTGTACCGGAAGAAGAGCCACTCGAGAAGGGCGTAGCGCTCCATGCCGGCGAAGAGGAGGGACTGAGCAGCCGCAGTGGCTCTAGGATAATTCAGCAGCGCCAGCTTCCTCTGTATCTCTTCCATTTGTCTTGCTGCCATTTTCGAATTCGAACACTAAATCAAACACTTGGACTGAGATCCGAAATCGTCACAAAAACTAAAAAATGTTTTGGTGAATTTTGAGGTTTTAGTTGGGGCGTTTGAATCAATCAACAATTTGAGATGTTAGCTTTTGATTTAATAAATTGCTTTTGAATTTTGTTTAAGGGGTTTTAGATCTAAGTCAAAAACATAGATGGTTTAATTAGCGAATGATGGGACTCTTCTTTTGCCACGGAATTCTCAGAACCAAAATGATTGGGGCAAGATAAACAAACTGAAAACACAATCATGAGGCCCAAAGCCCAATCTACTAAATCCACATGGGGAACGATTTCCAAACACTTAAGTTTTACATACTTTGTTAAGGCTCGTTTGGATGTACTTCTAAAATTACTGAAAGCGTTTTTAGAAAAAATATTTTTTGGTCCCAAAAGCACTTAAAGTGCTTCCTAGAAGAAGCATATAACTTGTGCTTCTTTCAAAAAGCATTTTAAGTGTTTTTTCATAATTTACTTGCATTTTTACTAAAAATTGGTTCCAAAAATATTTTCACCAAAGGCGTTTTCAGTCATGTCAAAAGCACATCCAAACGAGCTCTTAATTTATGTGTCTCGGTTCTTTAAGGGCTAATTTGATAATGTTGTACATACTTTAAAAAAAATGTTTCTGGCGTACAGTGAGAATAAACAGCTAAAGTTGTTAAGTGTTTGGTAAATCTTTTTTTGTAAAAGTGCTTTTAGTATAAAAAAAAAAAAAAAAAAAAAAAAAAAATGCAGTTTCTGAATGTTTGGTAAACTTTTATATAAATTGCTTTGATTATGTTAAATGATTGAAAATGATATAGTATTTAATGTGATATAATAATTGTCAAAAACAATAATGTAGCAGTAAAGATTGTAATTTTGTAAAGCATGTGGCGGTATACTTTGTCATTTAAAAAGTTCATTAAATGAGCACTGATTACTATGCTTTGAAAAAAAAAAAAATTTAGAAACATGGTAGACTTTGCTTCTGTATTTTTATGTTTATCTACTTTCATTGACAGCAATTTAAAAAAAACAAAAACACTTTTTTTATATTTTACCAAACACATTTAATGTTCCAAATTTTCTAATAAGCTACTTGTTTTTTAAAGCACTACAATCTCAAACCAACCCTAAATCAAGTGCTATTCACAAACCTATCTTTGATTTCCCCATATGCCCTTATTAATTTTTTTTGTCACTAATCTTCTTCAATTTATTCGATTTGACGGCTGAAAATTAAGACATGTATGTGTGAAGTAAAAAGAAGTGTGATGATAGCATTACTATTGATTTGTTCAACAAAAAAGTTCAAAATAAATGGAAGTATGTATGGTTAGAAAATAAATGTGTGAATATCACTTTTCATTTAATATGAAGAAGTGAAAGTAATTTTTGCACTTCTTTTTCACGCATGCACTCATTTATTTATATTTTTTAACCTTTGAATTGAATAAATTAAAACAAACTTAACAGACAAAAAACAAGAAACTGAGTGAAAAAATAAAAGGAATAAAAAAACAATTCATGTATGCACTAGTTAATAGGGAGGATGTCACATCCCGGCCCGGGGCGGATCACTTCCCGGGCCCGCTCCACCACCGTAGCACGATATTGTCCGCTTTGGGCCCCGACCACGTCCTCATGGTTTTGTTTCTGGGAACTCACACGAGAACTTCCCGATGGGTCACCCATCATGGGAGTGCTCTCGTGCGCTACTCGCTTAATTTCGGAGTTCTCATGGAACCCGAAGCCAGTGAGCTCCCAAAAGGCCTCGTGCTAGGTAGGGATGGGAATATACATTTAAGGATCACTCCCTTGGGCGATGTGGGATGTCACAATCCACCCCCCTTAGGGGCCCGACGTCCTCGTCGGCACACACGCGACCAGGGTTAGGCTCTGATACCAAATTGTCACATCTCGGCCCGGGGCAGATCACTTCCCGGGCCCGCTCCACCACCGTAGCACGATATTGTCTGCTTTGGGCCCCGACCACGCCCTCACGGTTTTGTTTCTGGGAACTCACACGAGAACTTCCCGATGGGTCACCCATCCTGGGAGTGCTCTCGTGCGCTACTCGCTTAACTTCGGAGTTCCCATGGAACCCGAAGCCAGTGAGCTCCCAAAAGGCCTCGTGCTAGGTAGGGATGTGAATATACATTTAAGGATCACTCCCCTGGACGATGTGGGATGTCACAGAGGATTCCCCATAAGGATCAAAACTTTGGTCAATTGCCTCTAAGGATATTTTTTTATGCAAAATGACTATAAGGAACAAAGATTTTTCTTTGAACTCTTCTACTATTATATCCTCATCATAGTGGGTTCTATAATGATGTTTACATTTTGTTTTGTTTGAGGTTCAAACTCATAATGCATGTCAGTGGAAATTAGTCTTGATTTGGTATTTAGGATTTCTTCTCTCAGGATTTCATTAGTTACATATCAATTGTTACAATTCTAAGACAAATTTTATATTGTTGTTGTATTGTGCTAATTCTAAATATTTCAAGCTGATGTTGCTCCATATCAATATCTTTTATTGGCTCAATAGTAATCTCTCTTTCTTCTATGAAATTTGGCTTTATTTTTTATCCTTTTTTTTTTCAATAATAATTTGTGTAAATTTGATAAAAAGAGTATCAATTGGATTTTATAGGGTGACTAATTATAAGTTGTTGCCATTTGGTTTTCAACAAGTGCAAGGATGCACTGGTGGCACTTCCCAAGTAGTGCCACCACAATCACAATCTACCAACAAAAGGTACAAATCACCAGCAAAGAGAGGCAAGCCATTGAAGCTTGAGTATGAAGGGAGTTTATAGTTTGGATGTCACTGCACAAATGGAAGAAGTAACCATTTTTGTTCTTTTTTTTTTTTTTTTTTTAATTTGAATCGTTGGATATTGATTATGCAGTTGAACATTTTTTTTTTTTTAACAAACGATATTATCTATACTAAAGGGTGAGGGAGTGGGCTAAACCTCATAATGGCCTAGCAATAATGTGGTTCAAATTCGTCTTTGGCGAAAATCGAACATAAGATCTCTCACTTACAAGTGAAGAGGCATACTACTAGACTGTAGTATTAAGTGGTTGCAGTTGAACATTTAAATATTGTGTTTAAGTTAGAGCCTAATGGAGTCACCATCGAGGTGGGTGGGGCACTTAATTTTAATCTTGATTTCAAATCTTTGTTGGGTCTTAGATGGTAAATTAAGGAGGCTATATAAACTTGGCATTCGTGTCGTGTTTTTCACATTTGTGTTGTTTTCGTGACATACCCGATAGTTTAACGGGTTGTGTCGCGTAACACTTGTTAAAGTAAACCGATAATATGACCTGATCCGAAATTGACTAGTTAATATTATTAGGTAATATGACTTGACCTGTTACCAGTTAAAGAAAGTATATTTTAAATCAATAAATAATAAAAATCTAAAAAATGAATTTGGTGAGTAGAATAAAGTGTAAACGATAATTTACGGTTAAATTAAAATATAAGGTTTATGGATTATGGCGTCGGATTTTGGAGTTGACCCCTTCACTAAAGTTGTAAAACTTGTCATTACACGAGTGATTGTTTTTTTTTTTTTTTTTTTTTTTTTACATTTTCCTACAATAATTATTATTAAATTTGGCACTCAAATAAAATATAGTATTCATGAGAGTTGGAGAGTTTCAAATATCTAAACAATATGTAATCATCGTCTAAGTGTAGAGGATCCAATGACAAGCATTTATATATTCTTTCACATTTTTCAGAGTTGCACATCAATGATTACAAATTTTATTTATTTTGAACTCCTTTAAAAAATACTATTCATGCTGGTTTGTATGGTTTTAAAAATTCAAATGACGATGTACGCATCCTCAAAACATAGAGGATGCATCACGAGTGTTTGCAAATTATCTTCACATTTTTCGCACATGTAAATTAATTATTAGAATTTTTTTTCAATGTGTTTGATATTTTTAAATTACTTGATATTTTTAATTTTAATGTGCTTTATAGTTTTTTAATCCCACTCTTTACCTATAGTATACTACATAGATAAATAAATAAAACTTAAATCTTTTAAATTTATACAGAATAATACAATAATACATATTTAATAAACAATATATACGAGTACACTATGACTCTTGTATTTTATAGTAAGTTTTTTTAGGAGTTTAAAAAATTAAAATCATCAAAATAAATTTTCTCTTAACATGTCGAAACGTGTTACCCACGTGTCACTCTTGTAAACCTGTTAAGGATCCGTTATTAATTGGTTCTTATCATTTGATCGGATAACGATCTGATTAATTATCGTATTGATCCGAAATCTATTATTTTCGTGTCGTTTATGTGTCTTGCTAACGAATCGTGTAATAAATTGACAAGTCTAAGGCCATATGTGGAAAGTAAATAATTAGTTTTACGACACATTGAATATTGTGTTTAAAACTGATAGTAGAGTACGTATGACAGTTGATGAAGAAGGAATGCAAATAAGAAAAGGCAAGTGAAAAAGGGAGGGGAAATTTAGGAATATAACCATTTTGAGAACCGTTTAATGAAATATGGCCTATATTTTTTAATTCTTACAAACCTAACCAAAATTGACGTTAAAAAGACTTAATTACCCGTATGTCAAAAGTCTCTCTTCTTCTCCTACCTCGGGTGTTTGTTTCTTTACTCTTCATCTCTATTCCAATTGTTGAAACACTACTACCACACTTCTCTTTACTCAGATTGCAATTGAACCAAGTGTTTACTATGTAAAACGCAGAATTGCTGGTTTTTGTGCTGATCTTAAATTTGTTGTTAGGTTTCTTGGGTAGCAGTGGAACATCGGAGTACATCTATCTCAAACGCCCACTCTTTGTAACCGACCTTCTGTGCTGGGTTTCTCGAATGTCACTCTTATTTTGTTTTTAATTATTTGACATTTACATTCCACTGGTCGGTCAAGAGTTAAACGCCGCCTCTTACATCCAACAAAATATCTTTCGCATATACCAAACTGAAAAGGAATTACAAAATCTACAACCAGAGGATTAGAAAAATCTCGTGTCCTCCTCAAATCTCCAAACCCTGCGTATTTATATGTACTTGCGGAATCACTGTCCTTCTGTCTCTCTCTCTCTCTCTCTCGCTCTCCACAACGGCACAACCACAACCAATTGCCACAACACCAA